GTACTTGTACTTGTAACTATAATGGTAAGAATGAAACATGCTCTGTCATCATTTGACATTTGAAACTTTTACACTCTAATACTCGCAACCTCATATTAACATAATTTTGACAGTCACAGAAACACAGTAGAAATACTTTCAGAGACAATTTCAAGTGGAGAGACTTACGCCACAAGTAGGTTGGGTGAACTCCAAGTGGGAGGGACTTACGCCACATGTAGGTTGGGTGAACTCCAAGTGGGAGGAACTTACGCCACAAGTAGGTTGGGTGAACTCCAAGTGGGAGGGACTTTTGCCACAAGTAGGTTGGGTGAACTCCAAGTGGGAGGGACTTACGCCACAAGTAGGTTGGGTGAACTCCAAGTGGGAGGGACTTACGCCACAAGTAGATTGGGTGAACTCCAAGTGGGAGGGACTTACGCCACAAGTAGGTTGGGTGAACTCCAAGTGGGAGGGACTTACGCCACAAGTAGGTTGGGTGAACTCCAAGTGGGAGGGACTTACGCCACAAGTAGGTTGGGTGAACTCCAAGTGGGAGGGACTTACGCCACAAGTAGGTTGGGTGAACTCCAAGTGGGAGAGACTTACGCCACAAGTAGGTTGGGTGAACTCCAAGTGGGAGGGACTTACGCCACAAGTAGGTTGGGTGAACTCCAAGTGGGAGAGACTTACGTCACAAGTAGGTTGGGTGAACTCCAAGTGGGAGGGACTTACGCCACAAGTAGGTTGGGTGAACTCCAAGTGGGAGAGACTTACGCCACAAGTAGGTTGGGTGAACTCCAAGTGGGAATGACTTACGCCACAAATAGGTTGGGTGAACTCCAAGTGGGAGGGACTTACGCCAAGTAGGCTTGGTTTAGATGGTGTAGGTGGAATAGACAGAAATGAAACACAGCAGCATACTGTGAGGTTAGGTTTAGGGTCGGGGTAGGTGTAGATGTTAATATACATAACAGTTTACTGTAAGGTTGGATTTAGGGTTGGGGTAGGTATAGATGTTAATAAACCAACTCAATCTCACGGCAATTCGTAACTTTTTGATTTAGTGGCTAATTTGTATGAAGTCGTACGATGTAATTCGTACAATTTAGTACGATTTGCTCATCACCCAATGCGGTTGGGTAGGGGTGGGGTTAGGTGCCACGCCTCCTTTTTAAAATCATACATTTTTGTACGACTGAACTCCACTACCACTAAACTGACAAAACGTAAAATACTTACATTTCCTCGTGAGATCAGGCTGTAATAATCACATTAGGTTACTGTGAGGTTGGGTTTAGGGTTGGAGTAGATGTAGACATTAATAAAGCACAATATTAGACATGTCATATACAAGACATTAAATAAATAAAAACTCCAGGCTTGTACAGTCCACTTGTAGCTCAAATCCACCCCACTTTTTTCCTCCCTCCAAGACTTTTGAAACTACCGCCTAAATGATAACCACAGCACTAAATGACACCATACCTGAGACATTTTGGTCAAAATATCAATGGAGTGGCTTCACAACTAGTCAGTGAAGGGCCTTGATTGGCCCAGCCATAGCCCAGACCTAAATTCTATTGAACATTTCTGGAGAGATCTGAAAATGGCTGTACACTGTCACTTCCCATCCAACCTGATAGAGCTTGAGAGGTACTGCAAAGAGGAATGGGCAAAAATTTCAAAAGATAGGTGTGCCAAGCTTGTGGCATCATATTCAAAAAGACTTGAGGCTGTAATTGCTGCCAAAGGTGCATTAACAGAGTGTTGAGCAAAGGCTGTGAATACTGATATAGATGTGCTTTTTCAGGTTTTTTTATTTTTAATAAATTTGCAAAAATTTCAAAAACTCTTTTTCATATTGTCATTTTGGGGTATTGTGTGTAGAATGTTGAGGGAATAAATGAATTTAATCCATTTTGGAATAGGGCTGTAACATTAAAAAAATGTGGAAAAAGTGAAGCGCTTTGAATACTTTCCGGATGCACTGTATGTGTGAATGATTGTGTATGGGTGTATACAGTCGGACGGGCATCCGTTGTGTAAACATGCTGGATAAGTTGGTGGTTCATTCCGCTGTGGGGATCCCTGATGAATAAAGGAACTAAGCTGAAGGAAAATGAATGAATAAATGAAATAGTTTTAACAAACGTCATTTTTTGATTGTTGACTTTGATCGTATTTTCTCCACGCATACACGTATACCACAAAGAACCTTTCAGAAAACTGTTCCTTCTGTTTTTTAATTACCCAAAGAACCCTTTTCCACCATAAAGAAACGTTTGTGGAATGAACAATGCTCATGAATGTTAAAAATTCTTCAGAAAACCTGCATTTTTAAGCGTGTAAATGGTGTGTAAATATTCACTTTTAGAGGAGTAAACGATCTCGTTTAAATCATAGTTCAGAACAAAATATACCCCAGGGTTAAACGCAGTTTGAAAAGCTCTTTTTAGATGTACAACACACAGAGGAATGCTATTTTTTGTTTGAGTTGTAACTCATGGTAAACATAGAGTACAGTCTCCTCTCAGCAGAGACAACAGCGGAATATTAAAGCTTTCCATGGGTCAGCTGCATCAGCCCACGTTTTAATAGCACTACAGCAACAGGGAGGTGTTATGACTGTAGGAAAGCCTTTGCGCACTGCAGTGTTGCCTTAAGAGTGAGGGTGTGTTTGAATCGTGCAGAGTCATGTGGTGTGTTCTCAACCAAAAGGTGACTCTGTCTCCAAGGGTTTATTGGATATTGATTCTTCCTGGTGTCAGATGGCTTTTAGCCTAAACGTTACTCTGAGCAAACATTCGGTTAAATTTTACCGCACTGTCTGTGTATTTAATTACTAATGCTGAAAGAAGCTTTGGATTAAAAACACACCTGCTAAAGTGCACTTCATGCTTTTTATGTGACTATTTTTTCTGGGTTTGGTGGGGGATGACCTTTTGATTCTATGTTTTTGAACTGGAAAAATCTGATATAACAAAAAAACTATATTTATTTATAGAGAGAAGAGATTTATTAAGCTGAATGTTTAGGTTTAGGTAGTATTAAAAGTGTTTTTTCTTTAAAGTGTAAGTATTAAAAGCGAATTCACAAATTAAATATTTAGCTCAACCCAAACTGAATGTTCTGTCGTCATTTACTGATTCTCATGATGTTGCAGTCCCATAAGAAATGTGCTCATCTTCAGAACACAAATGAAGATATTTGAATAGAATCTGATATATTTATCCTGCTCAAATTAGTCTTTTCACCTAAATATATCCGTACAAAAAACTCTGAACTGACAAACATTGATCAGCAAACCCCTCTTTTTAATTTTATTCTCTAATTTTAGAAATAATTAACATGCCTCTTTAGTTTCTCTGAAGTTATTCTCACTTCTCTGGATTTTCCATTAGGAGGTAGGAGATTTATCTGAAGCAATTTGTTCTTTTGTGTTTTATCTCATCATAAAATGTAATTTACTAACACAATTCGTTGTAAAACATGACATAACATGCTGATTTATTGCAACATTTCCTTTTTATAAAATGTATACACTCACTGGCCACTTTATTAGGTACACCTTACTAGCACCGGGTTGGACTCCATTTTGCCTTCAGAACTGCCTTACTGCTTCGTGGCATAGATTCAACAAGGTGCTGGAAATATTCCTCTGAGATTTTGGTCCATATTGACATGATAGCATCACACAGTTGCTGCAGATTTGTTGATTGCAAATCTCCCATTCCACCACATTCCAAAGGTGCTCAATTGGATTGAGTTATGGTGACTGTGGAGGCCATTTGAGTACAGTGAACTCATTGTCATGTTCAATAAACTAGTCTGAGATTATCCTCAGTTTATGACATGGTGTGTTATCCTGCTGGAAGTAGCCATCAGAAGATGAGTACACTGTGGTCATAAAGGGATGGACATGGTCAGCAACCATACTCGGGTAGGTTGTGGTGTTGACTAGATGCTCAATTGGTACTTAAAGGGCCCAAAGTGTGCCAAGAAAATATCCCCCACACCATTACACCACCAGCAGCAGCCTGAACCGTTGATACAAGGCAGAATGGATTCATGCTTTCATGTTGTTGATGCCAAATTTTGACCCTACCATCCGAATGTCGCAGCAGAAATCGAGACTCATCAGACCAGACGTTTTTTCTAATCATCCAGTCATTATGTCCCATTTTGGTGAGCCTGTGCGAATTGTAGCCTCACTTTCCTGTTCTTAGCTGACAGGAGTGGCACCTGGTGTGGTCTTCTGCTGCTGTAGCCCATCTGCTTCAAGGTTTGCAAGTTGTGGGTTCAGAGATGCTCTTCTGCATACTTCGGTTGTATGAAGTGGTTATTTGAGTTACTTTCAATCAGCTTGAACCAGACTGGCCATTCTCCTCTGACAAACCAGCTTGTCTGGCATCAACAGCCATGCCACATTCCAAGTCACTTAAATTCCCTTTCTTCCCCATTCTGATGCTCGGTTTGAACTGCAGCAGATCGTCTTGAGCATGTCTACATGCCTATTGAGTTGCTGCCATGTGATTGGTTGATTAGAAATTTGCGTTAATGAACAGTTGGACATGTGTACCTAATAAAGTGGCCAGTGAGTGTATATAAATTGCATCCATAATATACACTGTAAAAAGCGCTGGGTTCCGTACAATCCCTTCATGTTAAGCTAATTTCATTGTTTTTGCAAATTTGAGTGGATTGAACATAAAAGGATGAACTTGTCTCAAGAATTGTGTTGATTGAGCTCATTTTTAAGAAATTGTTTGAACAAACAGCAAAACTCCTTTTTAGTGTATTACAATGGTCAGTTTTATGGCTATATTTCATATTTTCTGGGAAAAAAAGCAATAATCTCTCTTTTTTTTTTTTTTCAAAAACGAGTATGACCCTGAAGTATCCAAATGCGGTGTGTTTTAGGAGCACTGGGCAGCATCATACGGGGGGAGGGGATGAGTTGTTCCTGAAAAGGACAAGCCCAGTCTGAGCCACAGATCCTGAATCAGCATTTTCCCTCCAGAGACTCCGACGCCCAAGTCATGAGGGGTGAAGACCCGTCCATCTTTCATTCCTCAGCTCGGCTCTGACAGCAGCGCGCGCTACACGGAGAACCATCAGCCGCGGAAGCACTGGCAGAGCAGAGGCGTGTTTCACTCCCGGCACCGCCAATCAATGACTGCTGCTCTCTCCGGCTGGGGACGTGGGATGTTTTGATGGAAAAAGGCTGCGTGTGATGCACAGGGCTTTCACCGTCTTGCAGTTCCCCTGGCCAACACTCTGACAGGCGCTGGGCGAGCAGGAAGAGACGCTCGGAGATGCTCGTAGCGGGTGAACGTTAATACACATCTTGCACAACTGGCCCACGACAACTTCCACATCGGCACGATCACCCGCGGACGGACTCCGAGCAGGTATTATTGATTCACACCACTGCTTTTCTGCTGCCGCGCGCGAGCAGGCGCTGTCCGGTGAAGGTGGTGCTGAAAGCGGCGTGTGCAGCTACTAGATACTGCCGAGCCTTTGCGGCGGGGGTTCAAGTAAGGTAATGCGCCAAGACTATACTGACTGAGGTCGGAGCGCAAAAACACTTTTGTAGGGATCATTGGGCCGTGTGGCTAAATAGACCGTCCTGCGCTGGATGAAGGGAGTCGTAAAGTTACCTTATGGATCTGTGACCCCCGGAAGTTGATAGGTAGCCTATATATTTCTTCTGGCTAAAATACGCACGGCGGAGTGAGACAGGAACGCAAGTCAGCTGAATTAGCTGAGCACAATGGGGTTGCTGTAGTGTGACAGCCTGATTGTCGCTATCAGCATCAGCTGCACGGAGGGATTTGATGATCTGTCACTGAAGGATGGCTGTGCTCTGTAATTTTGCGCTGGAACATGAAAATATGTGGTGGGGAAAGGGTTTTACGTTGTGAGATGAAGGACAAAACGTTCCGTGCAAGTTGTTCATGCTTTATTTATTGAGCTGCAGGCAGTTATGCTGCTGTTTTTAATATTGCATTAGCTGTATGTGCCGATTATATAGCCTGTGTGCTCTATTTTTTTTTGCATCTTAAAATGTATTAGGCTATAACTGTATGGGACAATTAGAAATTGTGAATTGAATATTCATATATTGCATATTGACGTGCTTAATCGATCACCATCAATTATTATAATTAAAATCGATGTGTTTCATTGGCAGATCCGGCAGTAAATCGATCGCTGCTCCTATACATTTGAAGTGTCGAGCACCAGGACTGAAACACCTGAAAAGCCATCATGAATTTCCTGCTGAAGGCAGCTATGGGAGGTGAGTATGTTTTCGCTTTGGGAGATTAGAAGTTACATTGAAAAACTGGAGTCGGTGCTGCAGTATGGCGGTCACGTGCGTTCCGTGCCGTTTAAACTCCACGCACCGGAGAGAGAACGGTACTGCTAGAAGAAGCGGCGCTGCTGTGCATAATGTAATATATCAGTTATACAGCAATGTCATAGTGATGCTCTCTAGATAGTTCCACTTCGATAACACTGTGCCAAAGGTCATTATTTTCATCATTAATATAGGCGCTTTCAACAATAGGGTACAAAATGCACTCACCGGCCACTTTATTAGGTACACCTGTTCAACTGCTCGTTAACGCAAATTTCTAATCAGCCAATCACATGGCAGCAACTCAATGCATTTAGACATGGTCAAGATGATCTGCTGCAGTTCAAACCGAGCATCAGAATGGGGAAGAAAGGGGATTTAAGTGACTTTGAATGTTGTTGTTGGTGCCAGACGAGTATTTCAGAAACCGCTGATCTACTGGGATTTTCTTGCACAACGATCTCTTGGGTTTACAGAGAATGGTTTGAAAAATAGAAAATATTCAGTGAGCAGCAGTTCTGTGGGCGTAAATGCCTTGTTGATGCCAGTGGTCAGAGGAGAATGGCCAGACTGGTTCCAGCTGATAGAAAGGCAACAGTATTTTAAGTAACCACTCGTTACGACTGAGGTTTGCAGAAGAGGAACAGAGCTAAACACACAGCAAAATATTCGTTTTTTTGTTCATTAAAATTAGTAATTTAATTTGTACACTTCCTGACAATAGTCTTGTCGTCGATCACAATTGTATGAGCAACAAATAATAACTTGACTTCTAGTTGATCACTTGGAAAAGTGGCCAAAGGTCAATTTTTCTGATGGATCATCTCTTGAAGACCTACTGGAAACCACATGGACCCAAGATTCTTACAGAAATCAGTCAAGTTTGGTAAAGAAAAAATCATGGTTTGGTGTTACATTTAGTACACTGCAAAAATGCTTTTCTATTTAGATTTTTTTTGTCTTGTTTTTAGTCCAAATATCTAAAAATTCTTATATCAAGAAGCATTTTCTAGGCAAGCAAAACATATTGTCTTGTTTTCAGAAATAATATGCCAATATTAAGTGAGTTTGTCCTTAAAAAAAGCAAAATAATCTGCAAATGGGGTAAGCAAAATAATCTTGTTTTTCCTTTTGACATAAGATTTTTTGCTTACCATATTGGCAGATTATTTTGCTTGTTTTAAGGGAAAACTCACTTAAATTTGACATATTATATCTTAAAACAAGACAATATGTTTTGCTTGTCTAGAAAATTCTTCATGATTTAAAAGTTTTTAGATTTTTGGACTAGAATCAAGACAAAAAATCTAAGCAAGAAAAGCATTTTTTTGCAGTGTATGGGGTTGTTTAAGAGATCTGCAGGATGGATGGCAACATCAACAGCCTGAGGTATCAGGACATTTGTGCTGCCCATTAAATTACAAACCACAGGAGAGGGCAAATTCTTCAGTAGGATAGCGCTCCTCATACCTCAGCCTCCACATCAAAGTTTCTGAAAGCAAAGAAGGTCAAGATGCTTCAGAATTGGCCAGCCCAGTCACTAGACATAAATATTATTGAGCATGTTTGAGGTAAGATGAAAGAGGAAGCATTAAAGATGAATCCCAATAATCTTGATGAACTGCAAGTACGCTTTCTTTGCCATTCCAGATGACTTTATAAGTTATTTAAGACATTGCAAAGATGTATGGATGCAGTCCTCCAAGCTCAGGGGAGTCTTACACAGTATATATTTTTTTCCACTACACCATGACTTTATATTCTATACTGTACATTATATCAGTTAAGTGACAAGACTTTTGTCTAAGCAAAGTCAGACCTCACTATCCTGATTAAATCATTAAATATCAAGGCATAATCATATTTTATTTTGGTAAAATAAGTGTAATCTAGAGGCCTTTGCCTTTCATATAAGCCACTTCTGATACCAAACGATCAACTAGAAGTCAAGTTATTATTTGCTGCTCCTAAAACTTGGATAGGTAACAAGACTTTTGTCAGGTAGTGTACTTTAGTTATATTAGGTAGTTCTAAAATAGCAGTTTATTAAACACATCCAATAGGTCTAACAATATAAAAATAAATAAATTACTAAAACCTGGGATTCGTGACTCTAGCATAAAAAAAATTCACGGCACAAAGTGTACCCTATTCATGGAATGGTATTCTCTGAAGTACATTGAAGAACCATATAAATACCACGGCGCATAAATATAGAAGCTAATTATTCAGGGCGATGCTCTGGTTAAGTTCATACAATAACAAGCCATCCCAGCAGCCTGAGAGCCTGTTTGTGTGGAGCGATATGATGTGCTCCTGTGATGTGGATGCCCAAATGACCACGCAGTTCAAATATTTGCTTCAGCGCATTCAGACCGGATTGTGTTTAAAGTAGACGAGCTGATGTCACCGCTGGACAGAGGCCACAGAGCAGCTGACTGCAGCAGAGGACAGGCTGAAGAGCAGCAGCTGCCACAAGACTAAATATTTCAAAACAAAAAAGACTTCAGCTCGTCTAAGGGGTTCAAGAGAGCAGGGCTGCACACTCTTAAAAATAAAGCTGCTTTACTGGCATCCATTGTTCCATGGAGACTGCTTAAAGTAGGCATGACATCAATACTAACCATATTGATTTTGTTAGCTCATGTTGATAGTTCTGTGATGAACAATTCATCTGTGCATGTCATTAAGACATTTTTTTTTGTATGCCTTGTAATCTGAATTTGAAATCTGAAAATGCACTTTCTGTTTTCTTTTAAACTTTCAGATTACGTCTGTCTGAGGTATTGGGTGTGGCTAACATATTCAACCACACCCCTTTAGTTGTTAGTTTTGACAACCAACATAAATGGTGATTAGGAGGTGTCTGTTAGGTTGTAATAACTCTCCTGAAACCCAATCTTTCTGAATGAAATGCCTTATTTACTACATCCAATCAGCTCACAGTAGAAAAAAACAAGCCCCGCCCACTATTTTCTCATCTAATATTTAGTTTCTATGGAAACGATCAAAATACAAAAAAAAAAAAAAACAGTCACAGATTCCAGTTCATGCAGACTTTACCCTCATGAAAACAAAGCTTTCTTACAGTGAATATATATATAGAGAGAGAGACTATGAAAAACATTCATTGAAACATGCATTGAATAAAAGCTTGTTATTACAGGACTTTTAAACTTGTATAACCTAAAAAAAATTACATTTAAATATTACATAAATATTTACATTTATATTAAGTTGGTTTAGCTGTATTTTTGTTTGTTTGCTTGTTTTTAAATCAAATAAACCAATAGTATCTGGATGCAGCCTTTATGATGCAAGCTGAGGCTGCATCACTCAGCGATGTGACACAATGCACTCAAATGGAGCTAGTGACGTCACTGTGATGGGTAGGGTTAGGGGTGCGGTTAGGTGAGCCCATTAAAAAGCATTGGATGCAGCCCAGATTGCACTGCACCAGGTCTGCAGCCAGACCCCTCTCAAATAAACAGCAAAAAGAATAAAGGAATAACTACTGAGTAATCAACGTCAATGAAGTTACTATACTATAAGTCTGTAAAATAAACTATTAAAAGTGCTGATGATTGTGATAGTAAGTGTTTTATTGTCGTCTTTCAGGTTGTATCTCAGTTTTAATGTGCTTTTTAAATAAATAAATAAATAAAAAACAAAGCAGCTGCTCGCCATGGCAACAGCAATAAGATCCAATCCGCTTGTTAAGTGTGACGTCACGCGAAGCGGCTTCCGGGTCCAAGCGCTCTATTCAACTGAATGGGGAGACTCATGAAATGGTAATAATAAACGTTTACAAAGCGATTTAATGCTTTCGAAAATGACGATCGCAGTATATATGTCCATGCCTAATATCCGATGGCCAGAAAGTGATAATTTTTTTATAAATTGTTACATTTTTGGTATTTGTTATGCAGCAAGCCCAGAGATTGTTGTGTACACTATGATTTTATATAAAATTAAATTTAATGTGTGATATCAATAAAACGCGATCATAAACGAATGATTTCTCCACTCAAATGAATGGCGGCTTGGACCCGGAAACAGTATACATACGTCACAAACATGTCACCACTTAACAAGCAGATAGACAGCCGATCGCTTTCACTCTAAAATGGCGCAATTCGGGGTTGTTGTTTGGCGCTGCTGTTGCAATGGAACATTCTATCCGCTTGTTAAGTGGTGACGTGTTTGTGACGTACGTAATACTCTTTCCGGGTCCAAGCTGCCATTCATTTGAGTGGAGAAATCATTCGTTTATGATCACGTTTTATTCCTATTACACATTAAAGTTAATTGTACATAAAATCATTTTGGCAAATGGCAAATGTATAGTCAGTTTATATCAAAATTAAGAAAATATAAAAAATATAGAAGTCATTTTTCCCATAATAATGAATAAATGACCAAATTATGCGACCCAAGAGTAAATATTTCAAAATAAAAGACATCAACGGTTCTCAGAGATCTAAGACGGAAAGGTTTGTAAATTTAGTGTCGCAAATCTGGAAGCTTTCTTGCTCATTTCTAATGCATTTATGAACTTTATGATAATAAATGATGTTTTTGTCAAGTTGTGTAAGAGATAAATAGCAAAAGCATGACAAATTTAGTGTAAAAATTTAAAAAATGGAAAGATATAGGGGTCACATTTTCCTATCACAATATAGAAATAGTCAAAATGATGCAACCCTTCCCAATCGTAAATATTTAAAAATAAAAGACATCAACCATTCTCTGAATTTAAATCAAATTTATAAGAGCGTAACAGATGAATGGTGAAGCGTAACAAATGTATAGTCAGTTTATATCAAAATAATACATTTGTAAATTTGGCTGTAAATTTGGCAAAGCAAATCTGATTTATTTCCTTATAAATTAACATGTATAACAAAATTCTTACTTTATTTAGTTGAACAGTACGACGA